AAGAAAATAGCTTGAAATTGATACCAGGTTCATTGGCTCTTGCTGGATGGTGGGTACACTTCAGGAAATCACCTGCCCTGGCATTTGAAAAAAAGAACAAGTGTCCGTATGGCTACTTTCAAAGAAAGTTGAATGTTGCAAAGAAAGTTCTGGGCTCTTTGGAGTTCTTCGCGTTTCCTGACATGCTCTGGAGGGTGATGGAGGAACTGTTCCAGGGGGAACTAACGAAGCCTCACTGCTGATGTGACAGGAGCAACTGAAAGGAGTGAGAGGCAGCCCTCTAGAGAGCACTTTCCCTACGGGCTGTCTCTCACTCTGCCAAGTACAAGGCCGTTCACCAGCCAGGAGAACTATACTCTTGCTCTGGCTTGGGAGCAGAGCTGTGGAGCTTTGTGTTTTAGAGTTAAGTCAAGTTTACCCGACCAGTGTGCAGGCTCTGGTGACTTTCAGAACTGAGCGAGGCCTGTGGGTATCTGGGCAGAGGAGGGGAGGCCAACAGAAACACTAGAGGGGAAGATGCACATCACAGTAGGGGAGGCCCACTTTCATTAGTGAGCCTCCACTCTTCAGAGCTATTGAGATGGGAGACCTTTGTATGAAAGCAGATTTCATGAAAAACAAGGTACCTGTAACTCACTTTTGTTACATCTACACCCCATATTTACCCCCAACTGGAAAATTTATAAATAACTTTTACTTACTAAGGATTACATGAAAAGAGGTATTCCCTCAAGGACACTTCCTGCCCCAAAAGTGTTACTTCCTACAGGTACATGGCAAACTTACCCTCAATTCCTTACCACCCTTGTATAATTTTACATTTTGCAAAACATCTAATTCCAGATGAACAGGTGACTTGAGAGGAAGTTAATCTTTTTCTCCCAGCACCAGAGATCACAGTGGATTTCTACTCTAATCCCTTCTTGCCAGCTATAGATTTTCTTAAAAGTTGGTATCACCTAACAGAGTGACTGAATTCATGCTCTTTTCCTCTTGTGTTTAGTAAAGCAACTTAAAATATTTCCCCCTCAAATCTTGTAATAAACCCAGCCTGCATGTTTGGATTATTTTCTTTATCAACTTTACTGATAAAAGTTTGCTACCGAGATTTTTAGTAGGCCAAAAAGTATAAAGTGGTAATGGGTATAGTCTAGGTCACTATTTTAGATGCATTCTAAATAATAGGATAATTTGTTTGGTATATTAATATAGCTGTATAAGTCAGATAAGCCATCAATAAAAACTTCATGTTTTTGGCATATACCAGGTTTGTGCTGGTTAGTTCTAATAGTAGAGTAGACCTTTTACATTAAAAAAAGAGTTTTTGTAGATTTGGAGAGGGAGGGGGAGAGAAACATCAATGTGAGAAACAATCCGCTCCTGCACGCCCCCTGGTGGGGATGAAGCCTGCAACCCAGGCATGTCCCCTGACCGGGAATCCAACCTGCGACCCCTCGGTGCATGGGATGCCGCCCAACCAACTAAGCCACACCGGCCAGGGTGACCTTTTATATTTCTGAGCAATGTGTTCTTCCTAAAAATCCCGAAGACTCAAAAAGAGTAAGTGCTTTTACCTCAAGGAATGAACAACCAAGCTGAGTTGCAGCACAGGCCCCAGGGTGGGTTCACTCACTGGCTGAAACCCAGGCGCACGCTCAGTCTCATGAGTGTCAGATTTTGTGCTGCAGCCAAATCAACCATGTTAAAGGCCGTGGGGTTGGGTGGGGTGGAGCTGAAAAAGAATCCAGGCCAAATGATAAACCTAGGGAGACCAGTTTTGCTTTTCATTTTATTACTCGGTACAGTTTTTTTTAACTCTAGCCGGTGAGGCCAGTAACTCAGTTTTCAATACAAGGTAAGCCAAACCGGGGGTGGGGTGGGGTGCCTATTAATTTATAGAAGCTTGATAACATATTTCTGGAGTATTTTTTAAAACAGACAGCACTGCATTTGTTATAGACTGGTTACTTGATTTAAAAAGACACCTGTAGCACTGTACAAACAGCGTCAAACGAGGATAGCCTGAATCCTGCCCACAAGCAAACAGAGGTGGTTCTAGCAAAGGCTCTGAGTCAGTGAGAACTCTCAGTACCATGAAAGCTGTGTGGTATATATTGAGCACTTCTGTTTCTAGAATATGTGAAAGACTTGGGATTGTTTTATTCTTTATAACTGGTAAAAAACAAACAAAACACACACACCAAAAAAACTTCTCAAAGCAAAGTGTAGGATTTTTAGTGTTTTATAATTTGAAGAAAAGTGTCAAATTTTAGTATCAATAGAATGGATTTTACTTTAGAGGAACACACATTTCATTTAAAAAGTCATCATTTGCTTCCTACCAAGCATAAGCAGAATCCTTTACACTTACATGATAGTTTTATACAGCAAGGTTTTAAAAATAATTTACATTAAATGGCAAGTATGACTTGGATCAATAGCTCTTCAGTTAATCAGAAATGAAAATGAAGCATTTTAGACATGAAATTCTGGCCCATTTCAGGTATTCAGAGCATACACTTTCTTTTTAGGAAGATTTGTCTTCAAATAGTGAGATAGAATCAATAATGTTTCTAACCCATAAGCGATATCAAGAAGGCTACATACACATAATAAATACGTAAGTACAGTGTCAGTACAAACCTTGCAAAATAAATAAATTTAAACACCAACTCAATCTACTTTTGCTTTAAAAAAAATGAGTAAGTTTCTTGTTAAGACATCACACTCAGTAGATATTAAATTACACATCCTTCTAAATTCTGTGAAAGCCAAAAGTGGAATAATCTGTGGATATACAAGCAATAAACTTAAAAAACCCAACATTATTCTATATGTAAAAGGAAATCCTGAAGAATACATTATGGTACAGAATACGGAAACTATATTGCATTCTTTAATGAATCTTACAGGACATATTTACATTTGCAATGCCCCAAAGCTTCCAATTAATTCTCAGCCATAAAATGCATGACTAAACTAGCTTGCTTGTTTTCAGACCTCTGGGCCTCTTGTTCCCAGTTTTCTAAGGTCAGCAAACTGTAGCCTGGGGCCAAATCCAGCCTGCCACCTGTTTTTGTGCGGCTCTAGAACTAAGAATAGTTTTTACATTTTTAAGTGATTGAGAAAAAACCAAAGAGGAACATTTGTGACATGAAAATTACATGAAATTCCAATTTTGGTGTCTGTAACTAGTTTTATCAGAGCCCAGCCACACACATTCATGTCCGTATTGCCTACAGCTGCTTTTGCACCATGACGGCCGAGCTGAGTGGCTGTATCAGAGACCGGATGGCCCGTGACGCTCAACATATTTCCTGCCTGGCCCTTTACAAAGTTTGCTGACCCCTGTTCTAAGTCTATTGCAAGCTTAGTCCTGTGTTTTTGTTTTTGTTCTTGTTTCTTAGAACAACTGTTGACATTTGCAGAATGGCAATCTCCTGGGCTTTGCTTCATTCATCAGGAAATGGTTGGTAGCTAGCCCTGTGTCATTTTGCTTGTCCTCAGTGTGGAACTCACATCATGTGTGAAGAAAGCTTCACTCCAGAAATCATCAATTTCCAGTTTAAGTTGAATGAAAACAAGGAAATTATATTTGTTTCCACCATGCTCATTCTTGACTTTAACTTCTTGTCAAAAGGTCTTCACCTGTAAAGTTGTATCCACAGGCTTGTTAGTGTATTTTAAGTGAAGGAGCAGAAACGTTCACAGTGTAGCAAGGGCGTAGTGTTCACTGCGTCTGGGGCACAGACTACTTCCTAGCTCACGGTGTTACAACATGTTCCCAGGAGGTGGAACATTAGGCTATTTCTGTCCTGGAGCACCATGTTCGTCAGAAGGATTTTTCTTTTTCTTTCTTTTTAAAATTACAATCAAACTGTTTAACTTTTTTAAAAAAAAGGTGGAATTCTTTCAACAACTGTATTTATTACTTCAGATAAGAGTAGGGTAAATACTTGTTTAGAAATTCTTAGAGTATTAAGAGGTAACTCTTGACACTTTAGAAATGAAAATTTTAGAACAAACAACATGAATTATGTCATCAGAAAGCAGTGAAAGTACTCTGCTTGTTCTCTTTTCTAACCCTCACCCAAGGAGTGAGGATATTTTTTCCACTGATTTTAGAGAGAGTGGAAGGGAGGGGGTAGGGGAGAGAGAGAAACATCAATGTGACAGACACACATCAATCGGTTGCCTCCCACACGTGCCCTGACTGGGAGCAGGGATCAGACCTGCAACCCAAGTATGTGCCCTTGACTGGGAATCAAACCCGAGACTCTGGTGAGCAGGCTGATGCTCTAACCACTGAGCCACACCAGCCAGCGCTAAGCTTGTTTTCTTATGAGTACACACAGAAAGGCCCTTTCTTTTTCACAAATGCTTTTTCTTGGAAACACCATTTGTAAAGGAGTTCATAACATGGGATGTATATTCCTATAGGTGCACCAGTGGCAATTTTTAAAAAGAAGCTTCCCCAAGTTCAAGCAAAGCTGAAGTCAACTGAAATGATTCTGGATGTCTGTTGTCACAGGAAAATTAAGGCCAAGGACATTTATCTAATGTCCTACCCTCCCTCCTCTCCTAAAATATAAGCAATTAGTAATGCTCATTATAGCAAACACATATTTTTAAGTTAAAATTTCTAGTGGAGTTGTATTGTTAGGTACTTAATGTAATCTTGTAGCATGAGGGCTCTTTATGGCAGAGTGTAATTTTGCTGTATCATTACAGAGGTTATAACATAATATGATTTATTTGATCTAAGCTCTTGATATGGAAAACAGTATTTTAATTAAAAAAAATTATTGATTTTTAGAGAGAGGGAGGAAGGGAGCGAGAGAGAAACATCCATTTGTTGTTCTACCCATTTATACATTCATTGGTGGATCCCTGTATGTGCCCTGACTGGGGAATTGAACCCGCAGCCATCGGGGTGCATTGGTACGATGCTCCCACCGATGGAGCTCCCCGGCCAGGGCCCAGCATTTTAAATTTTGATCGGTCCTTACAGCCTGCTCACAGACCCACTACCACGGTGAGTCATTTTCTAAATGTTGGAGAGGCTCCACGTGGGTGTTTAGTTCTACAGCTCACTTGGCTTTTGGAGAAGGCACTGACTGTGACACGGGGGCAGAAGGGAAGTGAGTCTAGAGCTTTTAAACCATTGGGATACCAGCTGCATGGCAACAGGAAATGGGTGCTGAGCCTTCACAGAATCTGGACAGCCCGGAGGCTCGCTGTTCTGTGAATTCACCACTATCTGATGCTCTGTGATTCTGAGATTTCTTTCCGAAGCGTCTTTGCTTAACCTAAACCGCCCTGACTCCCTGGGAGTAGCTGGCCGGGCAGATAGTCCAGGGGCAGTGGTTTCCTGTATTTGGCCTTGTCTGTTGTTTTGAAAGAGTATGGTTCAGGGCATCAGTTATTTCAGGAGTTGGCCCTTAAATGTAGAAATAGGGGCTCTCTATGTGTCAGGCTTTCTTTTGGGCTGTTACACATCAGAATTGGCCGTCAAGGGGTAGCGATGAGTTCTTTAATTGAGAGCTTTACATGTAATGTGAGAAAGCCCTGACTGTGACGGAGACAGCCGATGAAGCCACGCAGGACCAGCAGCGGTGCTTCACTGTGGTCTCTTGTGCATGTTAAATCTTAGAACCACAACACAAGGGGGGAGCAGTGGCTTTGGTCATCTCTTGGGTTCATTAGGAAACTAAGTGAAGAGAAGAAATCTGTGTTTGGTTTCCTCATATGCTTCTTTAAAAAAAATTCAGGTTCCACATAAATAATTTGTTTAAAGATAGAATGAAATGTACCGTGTGTGTGAACAGCAAGCGGTGGGCTGGCCCCCAGGGGCGCAACTGACTGCCGTCTCAAGGTGGAGGCGGCTATGTTATTTTGCTTTCTAAATTTTAATCATCACGTCACAAATGCCAGATTCCAATTTCTTAAGTGAGGCAGGGGAAGTTGAGGTTGTTGAGGCCAAATCAAACCTAAATTAGAAGAACATAATGTTCCCCTTTGTTGAGTTATCTACAAAAGAAGGTGGTCTAAAAGCGATCACTTCTGAAGGTCCGAATATCTTCAGAGGCCTTTTCCTGTTTGGTGCCGTTCCTACCGCCTTGAGGGGCACCTCCATTTGGAAGACATGAGAGATCCTGTACCAGTTATGCCTTACGAAGGGGCGTGAGCGGACCCCGCTTTGGAACGGGGAGATGGCGTAGTGTACCTGGTCAAACATGCCGCCCGCGCTCACTGTCGACCGTCCGTCGCGTCCCCGGCGGGCAGGCCGCCTGCAGGTCTCTCCTCCTTGCTTTGGACACTTTCTGAGGCCAAGGCCTGAGAAGGCGAAGCGAGTCCTCGGGGCTGCTTGGTTGACTTGGTGAGCTTCTTGAGTTCACTTGCAAAAGAAATGCCTTTTCTCTTGTCTTCTCGGGATGCCTGTGGGAAAGAAGAACTCTCCATTGGTGTTATTTAGGTGACAGCCAGCATCCCCGGTCCTGCGGCACCGTAGCAGACAGGGCCCCCCCCTTCCCTGTCTGGGAGGGAGGGACTCCCAATCCCACCCGTATCAGAGAGGGACCCCCCTTCCCTGTCTGGGAGGGAGGGACTCCCGATCCCACCTGAATCAGAGAGGGACCCCCCCCTTCCCTGTCTGGGAGGGAGGGACTCCCGATCCCACCCGTATCAGAGAGGGACCCCCCTTCCCTGTCTGGGAGGGAGGGACTCCCGATCCCACCCGTATCAGAGAGGGACCCCCCTTCCCTGTCTGGGAGGGAGGGACTCCCGATCCCACCCGTATCAGAGAGGGACCCCCCTTCCCTGTCTGGGAGGGAGGGACTCCCGATCCCACCCGTATCAGAGAGGGACCCCCCTTCCCTGTCTGGGAGGGAGGGACTCCCGATCCCACCCGTATCAGAGAGGGACCCCCCTTCCCTGTCTGGGAGGGAGGGACTCCCGATCCCACCCGTATCAGAGAGGGACCCCCCTTCCCTGTCTGGGAGGGAGGGACTCACGATCCCACCTGAATCAGAGAGGGACCCCCCCCTTCCCTGTCTGGGAGGGAGGGACTCCCGATCCCACCCGTATCAGAGAGGGACCCCCCTTCCCTGTCTGGGAGGGAGGGACTCCCCTCTCCCTCTCAGGACTGCTTAACCGCAGAGGGAACACGTTCCTTTCCACACAGTGAAAACCAAGCCAAACAACCTTCTCCCCCCTCAATTTCTTGACTAAGGAACTTTCTTCTCAACTTCATGGTCTCCCAAATCTGATTACGGTGTAGTTACGAATATCAAGTAATGGCTGAAAAGAGTGAAAATAACCTTGAGCTTTACCTGCACCTGCTCCTTTAGCTTAAGGATGAATTTCCCTGCACCTTTCCACTTGCTCTGGGCTTGAAACACACACTCCTGATCCAAAAGCACCCGCTGGGAGGACTTGGGGGTGGAAGACTTCTTGTTGGCGGGGTCTTTCACCACCTCTTCCAAAAGGACATAGTCGCTCGGGTTCGGGTTGCTCAGGATGCTGTAGGAGTACTTGGCTTTGCACAAGGTCTGAAAGAGAAGTTAGGGTCATGAATAAAGGCCGCGTCTCCAACGCCTGTGTTCACTGTAAATGAAACCTGAGGTGGGGACCTTCCAGGTCCTGTCCTCCACTCCTCATTCTACATTTGCGTAGCTGTAGCTGGTGACAGGCTTTCCCACATTACCCGGTTCAGCTTCACAAGACTCCATGTTTAGTTATTTTTGTCTCCCCTTTTCAGACGAGGAACTTGAGCAGATTCCAGAGGATGCACAGCAAAGAAGTAACAGAATAAAGACCTGAACGGGGCTGTCTGCGTGCACTAAAGGTCACAGACATGAAGGTCATGCAGACAGCGAGGGGCAGAACCCAGACCCTCAGAGGAACCCCTGTCCCACTGGCTGCCTCTTCACCACAGAGTATTGGCTGCTAAGGCACTTTAGGACTTGGCTGGCCTCACTTCTCATTTTGTGCAAGATTATCTTTCATTTATGTATTTATTCACTCATCAAATGTTTAGTGAGGGCCTACAACGTCCCAGATACTTTGGGGACACAAGGTCAACAAAAGAAGCCAAGTTCAAAGTCTATACCAACCAAATTGCCATGCAAATAGCACTGCAGTGGTGCTTACCATGTGCTAGGCATTTATAGTTTACACACACTGCTGACTTAATTTCACAACAGCTCTGTGAGCAAAGCACTGTTATGCCACTCCTATGTTACCTAAGTGGTAACTTAACCACATGGTAGCATATTGGAGCCAAATGGAACAGACTGGTGAACTCAGACATGGTGGGAGCATTGACCACAACAGAAACTGGCAAATGCTACAAACCGGAGCGTTTTGTTATATTGTTACGTGTACCACTGTAACTACGGGTAAATACGTTGCCAGATCTCAGAGCTAGTAAGAAGCAGAGCTGGGATTTGAACCTCGAGCCTCCTGACCTAGAGTTTGTGCCATTAACCACTTCTCAAGGGCGTTTGGTGAATGCAAACCATGACAAGGCTTTGAAAGAAGAAATCGTTTCTGAAACCATGCACACAGAAGCATGCCCTGGAGGTGGAAGAGGGTCAGAGTTGGCCTCCCTGTCCTCTGAAGATGGTCATTCAGTACTGGCGTAGGCATTTTGGGGAAAATGAGATGACTGCTCTGCAGAGCCGCCTCCTAAATCCATTACTGCCAGCCCTTCACAGAGAGCCCGGCTCACAGTAGGTACCAGGTGAGGGTCTGTCGGAGGGGTGAACCACTGTTTCCTGCTCTTCCTTTTTAGGTCCCCACCGGTCTAGGACCTTCATTAACAGAATGGGCTGAGATCTGATTTGTCCCAGCAGTTTACACGGGGACAAATTCTGTAGGGCTGAGGCGAGGAAGGGAGGGCCCTCGCCTGCTGAATGACGTCCTGCGCGGTGCTGACGCGAGGCGCCTTGATGACGGTCCGCGGCTGCTCCGGAGAGACGTCGTGCACCTGGACAAAGAAACTCTCCTCCTCCGAGCTCAAGACCACCTCTCTGTCATCTTGAACAATGCTTCTCTCTTCTAGGGTCTATGTTAAAAAAGAAGAGATTGCGTAAAGGGTGAGATGATGCAGGATAGGAAAAGAAAAAAATCCAACAAAAATTCGAGATGTACCTTGGCAATGTGGAAATAACGTCTTAGCTTTACAGTTTCTACACTGGTCAATATTTCATACATTATTCTGAAAGGACAGCCATGTCTTAGACAAAGAAAGTGCTGTGCTTCTGCTGATGTAGACAGACCGGTAAGATCTGGCCCAGAACAAGCTAGTAGCTAAACTCCTCTTAGCTGTGGATTTTGAGTCCAAATCAACTGTAGACAAATTCGTAAAAAGACAATCCATCATTTTGCCAATTAGCAAAAGCCAAATAAGAACACAGTAAATTTCATTTAAGAGAAAGTCCACCCACTCTCACATAGACCTTGAGCATTTAAGAAATGCAAGACATCCAAAATGCGAAACCTGAAACTGACGTTCAGCCAGGTTAGAAGATCAAAATCCACAGTGACAGGCAGGAACAATGGCTGGAGGTAAGTCACATTGAACCTTTGTTAAGTATATTATTGTCTAACAACTGTGTTGTACATCTGAACATAATACAAAATAATGTTGAATGTAAACTGTAATTAAAAATGAAATAAAAAAATTAAGATATCATCCCTTAAAAAAAAAGAAACAAATATTGACAAAATACTCAATAATCATGATAATTAGTTATCCGGTTGATTGGCTTTTGGTGAATTGGCTTCCAGTGAATTTTACATATATAATTATATATTACTATATAGGCAGATATATCTGTAGACATAGGTACTTATTACAATTTTCAAGCATTACAGAAATACAGCAATAAAAAGGCAAAGTTTTCCCACTCTCACCTTTTTCCCTCTCTCTCCCATCTCATTCTCCACAAAACCCCCACTGTTGTTAGGTTACATATCCTTCTAAACATCTGCTAAGGATATACAAATGTATTTTTGTATATGTGAATAGATAGATACAATGAAACCCTGGAATTATGTGAATTTAGTTTTAATGTGATTGTCAAATGGCTCCTGTCTTTTGTTAGCCCCACTCTCAAATGAGGGTAGTTTACAGTTATCTTCTGCAGGGGGAGGCAAGAAGGGGAGGAGACGCAGGCATGGAAACAGGAGGCGGCCCATCTCAGGAAGCGAGGACTTGGCAGGGAGGTGTCTGGTCCCCAGTGTTCTCCTGGCCTAATCTCTTCAGAGCAGGCCTGCAAAGCGGTGCTGACTTGGCTGGAGGTTACAGCAGCCTCAGGACCCAGAACGGTCCCATCAATATTAAAGTCAAATGGGTAACTGCCACCAGGTGGCGCCAAACTGTAGCCAGGCCCAGAGAGGAACGGCCAACCATTTCCTTAATCATTTCATTAATCTTGCAGTCCTGGTTCCTACAATACATACGACTGAAGTTTCTGAACCCCCTTCATTCTATTATTGTCTATATTTACTACATAAAGTGAGATTGTACTCTCCTACATATAGTGTTCTACAACCTGTTTTTTCTCTCCACTTCAAACACCGTGGTCCTCATTTCTTCTCAATTCCTAGAGCTTTTTCTGTGTTAAATGTCACGACATTGATCATGATCTATTTAACCAACAGGAGTGGGGTTAAGTGATAATTCATAAGACACAATTTATAATCTCAGGGCCTGAAAACCAGGAAGCAGGCAAGAAAAAAAAGGTTCTAATTGCCACATAAAATATCCTGACAACCATGCACTTTTATTTTAAAAAGGGCTTTTGGAGCTTCACTTAGAGCTTATTTATTTTAAAGGAAATTTCCGCTGCATGAGAAGCCACAAGTAATGACCGTAACAATAGCCCTCATTTGTATAGCCCTTTACATTTACTAAGCATTTGTATACATACTGTCTACATGTTTAGCATGAGTCTCATGATGATCTTTTTGAATCGAGCAGGGTAGTCGTTTCTATGATAGATTTTACACGTTAGGGCACAGGGGTTACAGAAGTCAGCAGAGCTGTCCAAGGTCATCCAATATGTGGCAGAGCCAGGTTTGCCTGATTTCAAATTCAGCAGGTGTCAGAGGAGGGCATACCGACCACAGGAAGGTGTGACACCTGACAGCTCTGCAGCCCAGGAGACAAGAAAATTATAAAAGGCAGGCAGGACAGAGGAGAGGTCCCAGATAGCAGTTAGGGGACTTTTAATCTATGGGCAAACTGCTTATATATCTTACTAGTTCCAAAGAATAAAATAAACAAAAATACTTACAGCTCTAATCTATCAACTATGCCAGTGTCTGCTTGTATCTGATAACTGCTGAGTTCATTCATTCAATCAGTAGATATGTTTTGTGTGTCATTACGCACCCAGTAAGCCTGGGTACATAAAACGTGATTTGTTAACATTTGAGGTACACTTCAGTCATATCAAAAATCGCCTCCCAAAAAGGGCATGAAGAGAACTTGCTGTATTCTCATCAGAAAATGTTTGTTTGACTTCTAGTTTATTCCCTTTTTCTTCAAGATGCATCTCTTCCACCAGCCCTTCTTAAACCTACATTCCCGGGGTCTCCACTGCCTGTTGTCACATACCCTTTAAATTGCATGTGGGCATCCCTAACCTCCCCACTCCTCCCAACCATGACGAAGGCCCACTGGGCCCCCCAGCGGCCTGCCACGTTTCCCACCGCTCACTGCCTCCCGCGGTGCTGGGCGGGGATGACCACGAGGACTGACGCAGCTCCAGCCCGGGCAGCAGGGGATGGTGGAAATAACACTGACCTGGAAGCCATAAGACTCTGCTACCCACCCCGTCGTGACTTAACCTCCTGAGCCTCCGTTTCCGTAAGTGTAGGATGGTTTCCATGATGTCATGAGATCATTCAAAATAGTGAGCGTTTGAGAGCTTTAAACAGCGTACATCATTTTGTAAATACAGGGTGTCCCAAAATATATATATACACACTTTGGATAATTATGAAGGCAGTGTTTATTAAAATACATTTCATTTTCAAAATGTAGTAGAATCTATAGACATTGTGTGTGTGCATTTTTTTGGGACACCCTGTATATGATTTAAAGATTTCACTGAAATTGTCACTTATAGGATACTTTTTTATATATGGCAAAGACAATTAGAAATAGGAAAAAAAATTCAGAAATTAAAGATGACTTTAAAAGTCCGGCTAAGCTCTCTATTTCCTCATAAAGCTATTACTATTAGAACTGCTTTTTCTCTGGCTTAGCAATTTGTATGTCTGATAGAGAGAGGAAGCTGGGGAGACAATTACATTTCTCTGCTTCAACGAAGTGTCTGTTTATGGTCTGAGGCAAGGTTGGGAGGGAAGGCAGTGGCTCTGGTTCTGAGGAGATGCTGGAGCTCTGCGGAGGCTGCAGGCCACGTTCAGTCAACACATGATGCTGAAATAGCTCCTCTCCTCCTCTGTGTGCCGGCAGGCGTGGGCCACCAGGGGGCACTGTGCCAGCCAAGCTCTATTACAGGCCCCGAAGGAGCCGATCAGGCGCCCAGAGCAGGGCCTGGCACATATCAGGTGCTCAGTAAGTATTTACTTATTTAATCAAATTGTTGAATGGACTCAACTGCTTCATGATTGGCATGAGTTATGGTTGTCTCTGCTTGGAGCAATGACCTCATTTTAAATTTACTGTCATTTAAAAAAAAATGGCAGGAAGTTAGTGGGCTCCTATCAGTTTCTTCAGGAAAAAAAAAAGGGGGGCTCCATCAGCAAACCCCAACAGAAGCCAACTAGTCTGGAGTTGACGCTGTGCTGTTTCCTTCGAGGGAACTGTAATTTAGTACAAATTCCGACCAAAGCTGAAAAATTATTCTTACTTTGTGTGAAGTTATAGAATATTTAAAATAAAATACTGTTATTTTACTTATAAGCACTGAACCATTTGTTAGCTAAAACTTCAACAGGCACTAACAGGAATGCAACCAACCCCCAAATGCACAGTGCCTACAGGCCTCGCACGCATTACCCAGTTCTGTGACCCTCGCAACAATGTCTCCTTACTCATACAAACAAAATACTGGCAAACGGCTGATGACACGCATAAGGAATCCATGAGTTTGTGCTCGCTTTGTTTTAGAAGAGATGACTTTTAGGCTGAATTTCTGTAACTCAAGATATAACGTTCTGGATATGTGCAAAAGAATGAAATCATTTCTCCACATTCACTTCAGAAGGATAATATAAATCAAGTGGGAATTAGAGGAAATCCTGATTTTGAGGGAGGTGGCCAGTGGCAGGTGGTGAATGACACACTGAGCTGTTACTGTGACTGCGCGTAGGCTGCACCCAGACACACTTACTTCCTGCTGGGTTTTTAAGACAATCCTGCCAACATATCCCTCTTCTGGAAACCAGCTGCTTAAAATCTGCATGATCTCTTCATCTGGACCAATGGCTCTCTGGAACGGTTGTTTTCTGCATTCATTCTTTTCTTTGGATATAAAATATTTTTCTTCCATCAAAAAATAGTCTGTGGCAATAGGTTTGGTGTCTTGTTGAGTGGTCAGGATCTAAAGATAAAGCAAAGGCAAACTGAGCAAAAGCTTTAATCCAAAGCAAGTCTATTTCCATGGGGTTCAGATAGCTTTCATGTGCAATTTATAAGTGAAACCTGCTCTGGAGTGTTGCATAATTCTTTTTGGAAGGTCTAAGAATTCTCTTATGTCCAAAAAGAATTGTTTATGTCCATTCTGGGCAACGACACAATTTACTCATAATTGCCAGACAGCATAACTATTTTTCCCACTGCTGGAATGAGAGCTCCTACTGAATTAAAAACTTTAGGTTTTAAAATCTAGGAATTTAACTCTTTGTAATACTGCAACAGGACCACGGGCAAGGAGCCTAGTCCAGGATAATCTCTCTGTCGTCGTCTAATCTCTTCTGATCTAAGTTCCTGGGAATTCTCCTTCCAATAAAGTCTTGACTGTGTGCCGAGGGGCCTGTTTTCTTTGTTGGCTACTGACCCTGGCACTCAAACAGCGTGGCTGAGACAAGGCTGGGGAGCCAGACAGACCTGCGTCTGAGGTCGCCTTGAATGCTTACTGGCTGGGGGGTGTTGGGAAGGATATTTAACCCTTTAGAGATTCAGTTCCCCCTCTGTAAGTGGGAACAGTAAGGGTAATGAGGGGAAGCAGAGTGTACCCCCCCAGAATGTGATTTTTGGGATACTGATTATTTTAGGCTGGTTATTTTCAAGGAAGAAGAAAAAAAAAAAAGACTCAGAAACAACCTTCAACTTTTCCCTTACTGCCTAAAAGGAATTTAGATAGAGGACCTGCTCCTGGAAGGGAGGTTTCATCACAGGTTACTATAGTTTAATGTAAACTGATGTGTGATAGACAGGGAGGGACCTAGTACGGCCCCTCTGTTCAAAGGCCTCTCTGTGTCCCATCGTTAAAGACGGCCCAGCAAACATTTATGTACAGAATGTTTGCTTTTTCCATATCCATGTGGATTGCCTTCCTGCTCTTTTAAGTCCCAAACTACAATCCTCTTCTCCATAGCTCCGCATCACGTATAAGCCTTAACTGCCTGCTCTGCCCTCTGGTCTCATATTCTTATAGAACCGCCACGTGTACATACATAATAAAACTGGTTATTTCCTCCTGTTAATCTGTCTCATGTTAATTTGATTATTAGTCCAGCCAGAAGAACTTAGAAGGTGGGAGGGAGGAAAATTATTTTTCTGCCTCCACAATAACCACCTCTTAATTTTATGGTTTATGATCGAGGCACTGGCCATAAAGCGTGACTTGGACACAGTAGAGGACTCAGTAATCATGAGACATCACTACAGTGCCTCTAACTGATGAGTTCTTTCACACTCACAGTTATACAGGCTACTGACAAAAGACTAAACTCGAAGCTGGTGCCGAGAGAAGGCTGCCACCAACTGGCCAGGATTAAGTCAACACCCTTCTCTTCAACACCTGCCGCTGCTGCGTCTCACCTGGAGGGAAAGAA